ACCCCTATGTTTATAGCAGCAATGTCCACAATAGCCAAACTGTGGAAAGAGCCAAGATGCCCATCGACAGATGAATGGATAAAGAAGATGTGGTATATATACACAATGGAATATTATGCAGCCATCAAAAGGAATGAGATCTTGCCATTTGCAACGACGTGGATGGAACTGGAGGGTGTTATGCTGAGTGAAATAAGTCAATCAGAGAAAGACATGTATCACATGACCTCACTGATATGAGGAATTCTTAATCTCAGGAAACAAACTGAGTGTTACTGGAGTGGTTGGGGGTGGGAGGGATGGGATGGCTGGGTGATAGACATTGGGGAGGGTATGTGCTATGGTGAGCGCTGTGAAATGTTGCAAGACTGTTGAATCACAGATCTGTACTTCTGAAACAAATAATGCAAAATATTTTAAGAAAAAAGGAAAAGAAGAAGATAACAGGAGAGGAAGAAAAGGGGAGTATGTCAGAGGGGGAGACGAACCATGAGAGATGATGGACTCTGAAAAACAAACTGAGGGTTCTAGAGGGTAAGGGGGTGGGGGGATGGGTTATCCTGGTGATGGGTATTGAGGAGGGCACGTTTTGCATGGTGCACTGGGTGTTATGAACAAACAATGAATCATGGAACACTGCATCAAAAACTAATGGTGTAATATATGGTGATTAACATAACAATAAAAAAAAATTAAAAAAAAAAAAAAAAAAAGAAGTCCTTGGGGTGCCTGGGCGGCTCAGTTGGTTAAGCATCTGGCTTCGGCTCAGTTCATGATCTCAGGGTCCTGGGATTGAGCCCCTCATGCCATGGCGGGCTCCCTGCTCAGCAGGGAGTCTGCTTCTCTCTATCCCTCTGCCCCTCTCCCTTTGCCCCTACCCCTGCTCATGCTCTCTCTCTCTAATACATAAATAAAATCTTTAAAATAAATAAAAATAAAGTTCTTAATCATTTCTCATATATATGTGTATCAAATCATCACATTGTACACCTTTAAACTTATACAATGTTATATGATAATTATATCTCAAAGCTGGGAAAAAAGAGTCCTTATAATTTAGTACCTACTGTAATATTTTATGAATTAAATAATATATATAATGTCTTGGTATTTGCCTAAAAGTAATCTGTGGGTGGGGGAGTAAAGATGAGTATAGATGATACAAGACTGGCCTTTAGTTAATAATAGTTAAACCTGGATGATGTGTACATAAAGGGATTTTTAATTTTTTATAACCATTTTATTTAATTAAAAAAAACTTGAAGCCAACTTAAAATGATTCTCACTGGTAAAGATAGGATAATTTGAATAGTAAACAGATTATAACTTCATATTTTCATTTAACCTGATTCCAATAAAAATAGCAACCATTTTTAAAAATCTAGGCAAGTTAAATCTGAAGTTAATATAAAAAATAAGCAATAGTTGCCAATAAAACTCTGAAAAATAAAACAATGAGAAGAAATTAATCCTACCAAATATTACACATGCTATGAGGTATCAGTGATGAAAACAGTGTGTGCATTAATGGACAACAAACCAATGGAAAATAATGGAAAATTCAGAAGATCCAAATATGTATGGGAGTTTTCTGTATGATAGAGTTGGCATCTCCATTTTGTGGAGTAAAAATGCTTTAGTAAAGTAAATAGTGTTATGACAACTGGGTGATCATTGGGGGGGGAAATGGATCCTTTCTTCACAAAAGTACTAGAGGAAAATGAGATTTTTTATCACCTTGGATTTAAGAAGGTTTTTCTGTGACTCAAAATTCAGATGCCATTTAAAATTTGATAAATATGGCTATATAAAAATCTAAAACCTCTTCAAGTAAAAGAAACCATAGTCAAGGATAAATAGTAAACTGGGAAAAATATTTGCAATCCATATTATAGACAGAAGGAGTTAATCACTCTACTTATCAACTCACTATGTAAAGAGCTGCTAGAAATTAAGATGAAATGAAACATCAACACAATAGGAATAGGAAAAAATGGGCAAAATATAAGAACAGAGTTCCAAAAGAAAGACACAAGGAAGGAAGAAGACAAAAATGCCTCTTATACATGAAACAATGTTGACCTTCACTCCTCATTCATACTAAGAGAAATGCAAATGTAAACTATACTAAGATACTTTCTGCTCTATCAGACTAGCAAAGATCCAATTGTTCAACAATACCTTCTCTTAGAGAGGTTTGTGGAAATATATACTGTCTTGCCCTCTACTGATAGAATGTCAAAAGATAAACTCTTCTAAAGGGCAATTTGGCAATATCTAACACAAATCAGCAATACCAGTTTTGGGAATTTATCCTTAAGATCCACTTGCAAATGTATGGAATGATGAATGTACAAGGTTATTCATTACAACATTATTTCAATAGGGAAATAATTAAACTATGGTACATCCCACACAATGGAATACTAAGAAGTTGTTAAAAAAATAAAAAAGAATGAGCAAATGAACTTGTTTGGAAAGATTTCTAAGATGTACCACTAGGGTTTTTTTTTTTAATTGTTTTTGTTTTATTAGATTTAATGTTGGCTTTAGACTTACAGAGTTAGTTATATAGGATTTAAACTTTCTTTAGAGTTCTTGATTAGTATACTACATCAAATTTGCAGCTACAAGCTAACATAAAGAAAGAAGGAGAAAAGTTAGAAGACCACTGATTTATAGTTAAGCTAAAGAACAAGATAGCCAGAAATCATAAAGCTCTAACAAGCTGATGTGTTCAGTGGAGGAGTTTTTATTTTATTTTATTTTATTTTATTTTATTTTATTTTATTTTATTTTATTTTATTTTATTTTATTTTATTTTTAGTAAAGCAATAGAAGTTTATTAAGTGAAGATACAGAAAAAGCTCTCAACAGTGAGAGGGGTCCTGACAGGGTTGCCAGTGGGGGCCTTTAGGGTTGGTCTTTTATTGAAAACTAACCAGGGAACTTAAATCCTTTTAACATCTCTATTGATAACACCTTCAAAGGCTTACTTACTTTTTAGGGTCTGGTTATTCTTTGTTGTTCGCAGGCGATTATCATATAGACACCCACCCCACATGCCTAGGGCAGGGTGGTCCTCCACCCCACATGCCTAGGGCAGGGTGGTTGGAGGAGTTTTTATATTATTCATATAGCTGGGCCTCTTTTTGTTTTGTTGTTAACAGTACATGCTTTTAGATGATATTCACAGAAGCATGAATATACTAAATTTTCTTCAGTCATTTTATCTAAGAGGCAAAATTGGATGTCACCAATTCATTGACTCAGAATTAAATATTTCCTGATCATTCATCATAAGACCATAGATACTGTTCTCCTGTTCTCAAACATGAT